CGAATGATTCTACAAACATTTGGCAGCGTTCGACATCAATTTCTTCTATTGCGAAATGAGCTCGGCTCGCGATGTGCATTAATTTTGTTAAGAAAGCCGTCAGGTCATCCTCGTCTTCATAGGTCGTAAGCTTAACTTTGTCACAAGTTATTCTTGTGTGAGCTATTCGATCGCTCGACGGAGTTCTCTGGGTTTCTTTTAGGACGCAGATGATGTTGGGGCTGCGCTTGTCGCTCGATGTACTTTGGATTGAATATCTCTTAATTCGTTATGAAGTCGTTCTATATCGTGGTTTTGCAGGCCAAGGGTGTTTCGAACTGTGTTCGCCGTCCTATGATAGGGTTCTCCCGCTTTGGCTGGTATGCATCATCTGAATCGGATCGGAGGATCCAACCATCGCGAAGTTCAGTTGGAGGTCGCGTGCAAGCCATTGGTATCGCTTGGTCGTCTCCTGTAGGCTCGTTCTGGGGATTCCACTATTCGTGCGATTTCTTCTATTCGTTGTTCGAGTAAGATATTATCGCTACTTGCTCTGCAAACTGTACTGTAAGGAAGCGCAATAGTTCTTCATTTGCAGCTCTGATTCCGGCTGTAGCAACGGCAGGATCAGCGTTTTTTTTTCTCGACTGGTGTCTCATTCTAGTGTCTCAATTCTTTTTTATCAGATGAGGTCTCGTTCTCGTCATGATGGTCTTTTGAGTTTGCTTCTTCGTTTTCCGGGAAATCCTTTACCTCGGCTCTTGTAGGATCGTCAATAGCAGATAGTAGCGTCGTTCCTAGTCTGGATGTGTTAATGGTATCGTCATCCTATCTTCGTTGGGAAGCCGTAGGTGGTGGCCTGGTTTTGTCTTAGCTTAGTGGTAGGTTCTGTTGAACTATAATCAAAATCTCGTATAAGTTAGTTACATTCACATTAGTTAGTTACTTGATCAAGAGGCACAAATACTCTGTGTTAAGGTTGTGTCTTTTAGATTAAGAGTTGTGTTCTTTCATTTACACATCACATCTGTTCGGTTTGTTTAAATACTCTAGATCGTGTGATTGTTAAACACATGTTACTCGAGTTGTAATACTTTTTCAAGTTATCAATAAAGATCAAGTTACAACCACTGTTCTTACTCTGTTTCTTATTCAAAAGTCGAAACAAATAAACACTTCAACATGGTATCAGAGCTATTCGATTGAGAGAGGACAAGAGTAAAACACAAAAAAAAAAAAAGAAAGAAAGGCGAAGAAATAACCGCAACAGATCGCATCTGTCAAAGGCAATAAGCCGAGACAATGCAAGGCTCTTCACACCAAGTGATCCCGATCTTTAACGGAGAGAAGTATGACTTCTGGAGCATCAAGATGTCGACCATCCTTAGGACAAGGAAACTTTGGTCAGTGGTCGAGGGAGGCGTACCGCCTGAACCGGTACAAGGAGAAGAAACCCCTCCATCATTAAGAGCAGTAGCCGTTAGAGAAGAAGCGGTTACAAACGACACGATGGCTTTGCAAATTTTGCAAACCGCCGTCACTGATCAGATATTCTCACGCATATCCGGAGCAACATCATCAAAGGAGGCTTGGGAAGCGTTGAAAGACGAATATGAAGGATCTCCCCAAGTTCGATTGGTGAAACTTCAAACGTTGCGTCGAGAATACGAAAACCTTAAGATGAATGACGGAGAGAATGTCAAATCATTCACCGATAAATTAGTTGATTTGGAGAGTCAATTAACATATCATGGAGAGAGGAAAACAAGCGCACAACTCATTCAGAAGATACTCATCTCTATGCCTGCAAAATTCGATAGCATCGTTAGTGTTGTGGAGCAAACTCGCGACTTGTCTCAACTTACAATGACAGAGCTTATCGGAATCCTCAAGGCACATGAAGCAAGATTGGCTGTAAGAGATGATAACAACAATGAAGGAGCATTCTACACGCGCTCAAAAGACAAGGAAGCCGGTTTCAAACGCGACCACACCAAACGCCGTGGCACACAAGGCAAGAAATGGTGTGAGTTCTGCAAGAAAAGCAATCACACTGACAGTGAATGCAGGAAGAAC